CATTAACAAATTTTTATGAATTTAAAGCACCAGTCTAAGCTTTTATTCATAATTCGCATAGATCACAGCTAACGCGTACAGAAATTGCCAAAAATAAGTGTTTCAGATTTGTTGGAAATTACTTTTTAAACAAGGCTTTGATCCAAAATGCGTACAGATTTTGAATTACTATGGTTTGCTGAACTTTGAGAATGAAGCCGGTAAAAGATATTCTCAGACGAACCTTCCCTCATTTTCGTTAAAAGGTGATGAAAGCCAGCCACCCGAGGATATAAGAGATGTTTCAACTGCTTGAGTCCGTGCTTTTTCGCGTATTCTTGACTTTTCGTCGTTGTCCATGGTGATTTGTCGGTCCCTTCAGGGAAAAGTAGAAGCTAAATCCTAATCATTAGATCTCCTAAACATGCTACCATTTATTGCAATTTCAACACCACAAACCTGGTAATTGTTGTCCATACCCCTATAGTATTCTATAGCGGAATCGAAAGTCACAGCATCCTTTTCCATGTTTCGCTGTAGAAATAGGTAATGAGCCGCCGACATACCAAATCCTATAAGATGAACAGGTAATCAAAAGCTGCACAGATAGTCATGTGAATGTATGCGTATGCACACCAGCTCCTGGAAGACTTTGCAGCTGTGCTTTCAACGAGATTTTGTTAGAGGTGATGAGCCAAGGGTTCATTTGATATAAGGCCGACCACATATACATCCAGTCTAACCTGAATTCAACTTTCATATCATCTGTAAAAGGTAAGGAGTGATCTAAATAGAAACGTTTTTATCATATAAAGATGAGAAGATGTGAACAAAGTGCATGCCTTTCGCAGAACTCTTGTGTTTCAGGGTGAAAAAAATATGAAACCAAAGTCGCTATAGCGCATTTTCAGCCGTGTCTTTATGGAGTAGTTTTTTGGCTAATATCCTGACAGCGCTAAGCAGTCTGACAATATTTAATTGCTAGTAACTTCTTCGCAATGAGAATCTGTTTGACAACATCTTGTAGTCAGATGTGATTTTTAGAAGATTGCTAAGCTTTGAATCACTGAAGTTATTCCATTTTTTTCGTTTATTTCCTTTCCGAACTACTCTGTCAGATACTATACCTGGAATGCCCTCAAATTTCTATTCAATTTTGAAAAGCAGTTTCTACCTTGTTCTGTGATTCATAATGATAAGTGCAGGTTCGTCGTATTCAATCTCATCACCGGAGACTCGTACTCGCATCCCAAAAAGTAGCTCCAGGAATCCCTGTAATATAAGGTGCTTTGACTACCCTCTTTCCTTGTCATTAGAAAACCATGAGAATACTATGCGAGGTCTAACGACACAAGAGTATTTTCGAACCAATTTCATTTTTCGCAAACCGTGAATATTTCAGTTGGGATTTTAGATTTTAATATTTTTGAATATGATGCCAAAACCATTTCATTTAGTATGATTAAACCTGAGAGAAGAGTAGTTAGCAACTACTCCAGATATACATTAGCAGATCTTTCCAGGTTTCCACCCTTCTACGATAATCAATATGAACATAAACCAACTATTGGAACCATCATCCAGAAGCTGACCGAACGATCCATGAACGATCGCCATGTTTTGTGTTTGCCGAGTAGAATGAGAAAAACGAAACTAGAACGAGTACATAAAAGAAGCATTAATAATCGCGCATACGTACTATTATCGACTCACATGGAGACAAT